TGTGCGGCTAAATTGCTGCAGGAAATCCTCGCAGAGAATTATGGCGCTAGTGGAGTCGCTGCTGCTGGGGAGGGGAGCAGCAGCAAAACCATCTGCTGCTGCTGTTGCTGCTGCTGCTGCTGCTGCCTCACTGGGCGGGGCAGCAGCAGAAGAGGAAGCAGCCCCCATGTGGCGAAGCAAATAGACCGGAGCCTCCAATTGGGGGCTAGGGTTTCGCGGTTTAGGGTTTAGGGTTTCGGGCTCAGGGTTTAGGGTTTAGGGTTTAGGGCTCTGCGCGGGAAACAACCTACGGTGCTTATGGTGAAAACCACTGCTAAATAGCCAGGTCCTAGGGTTTAGGGTTTAGGATTTAGGGCCTAGGGTTTAGGGTTTAGGGTTTAGCGTTTAGGGTACCGGGGCGGGTAGGTCGAGTGCGCGGTGGTCAGCGTGCAGGGTTTAGGGTTTAGGGTTTAGGGTTTAGTGCTGGGCGCTAAGGGTTTAAGAAAATATATTTTTTAAATTTTAGTGTATTGCAGACAGCGCCCTAAACCCTAAACCCTAAACCCTAAACCCTCATGGGGGCCCCTCGCCAGCCAAGCAGCAGCCCCAGACAGGGACCCCCTTTACCCTGAACCCTAAACCCCAAACCCTAAGCCCTAAACCCTAATTTATTTGTTTTATGCCGGCCTTTAACTGATTAGCTCGATGTGCAAGGTTCCGAAACCCTAAACCCTAAACCCTAAACCCTGGCTGCAAGATTGGTCTCGCGGCTGTTTAGGGTTTAGGGTTTAGGGTTTAGGGTTTACGGAGAGAGCGCTGCGTGTCTTTCTCGCAGCAAGACAACGCAATGTCAAGCGCCTAAACCCTAAACCCTAAACCCTAAACCCTAAACCCTAATGGCGGTTGCGGATTTGCCTCTCGAGGAGGAGCGGGAAGGGCCGTCTCAAACATTCGTCTGTCGCTACAGTAAGTTGAAATAAATAAATAAATAAATAAATAAATTATAAATAAATAAATAAATAAAATTAAGTAAATAAACAATGAATAAATAATAAATAAAATAATAAATAATAAATAAATAAATAAATGAAATTGAATTTGTCGATCCAGTTGCCTGCGTCCCGTTTGCTCTTTTTCCCTCCTTACTGCGCCCTAGGGTTTAGGGTTCAGGGTTAAGGGTTTAGGGTTTAGGGTTTAGGGTTTGCGTGCAGAGCTGCCTCTGCAGGGGGGTTGTTTAGTCCCTTTTTCTTCGAGGGTTTTTAATTCTTCTTCTTTATCTCTTCATCTCTTTGCTGCTCTTTCTGAGGAAACCCTAAACCCTCAAAATGAGGTTAGTGTTTATTTATTTATTTATTCATTTATTTACTTATTAATTTATTTATTTATTTATTTATTTATTCATTTATTTTGTCATTCATTTATTTATTTTTGTTCTGTATTTTTGTCTGCTTTTTTGGTTTTTTGTCTCTCATTTCCACTGCTAGCAAACCCTAAACCCTAAACCCTGATTTGTGGTTTAGGTCCAGTTCATTTGCTACGAGGAAGAGACCATGGAAGCTGCTGCAGTTTTAACTGCTGCTGCACCTGCTGCTGCTGCTGCTGCTGCTGCTGTTTCGTTTGAAAAAGCTGGCGAGGGTTTAGCAGCAGTGCAGCTGCTGGTAGGCAGCAACGCCCCCAGTGAGCCTAAACCCTAAACCCTAAACCCTAAACCCCAAACCGTAAACCCTAAACCCTAAACCCTAATTGTGGCGGATGATGTGCTGCTTCTTAGAGCCTTCTTTCGCTCTCTGGGAAACCACTGCCCCTCTTAAAGACCCAGAAGAGTGCAGCAGCAGCAGCAGCAGCAGCAGCAGCAGCACAAAGAGCAGTTTTGCTGTTCGCGAAACTATAGAGCCCGCCGTGCCCTTCAACTGCATCCACAGGTGCCCAATACACGGCCTACTAGGGTTTAGGGTTTAGGGTTTAGGGTTTAAGGTTTAGAATTTAGGCCTCAGCAGCAGCTTTTCAGGAGTCAGCGGAGAGCGCTGCTGCTGCTGCTGCTGCTGCTCTTATCCAGTTTGTTGTTGCTTCTGCTCTGCTGCTGCTGCTGCTCGGTTTTTCGCTGCTGCTGCTGCTGCTGCTGTTGCTGCTGCCCTATTGTTGCTTCTGTCGCTGCTGCCGCTGCCTTATTGTTGCTGCTGCCTCTGCTGCTTATGCTGCTGCTGCTGCTGCTGCTGCTTGTGCTGCTGCTGCTT